CCTGCATTTTAAACCATTCTCCCAAACCAACAGCAGCATTTCTCCCAAATGGTAACAGTAGTGGTAAATGATCTGTACCATGCTGTTATTTGCTAAACATCAGCTGGTTAATATGGCACTTTGTGCCCAGACATAGGGAAACCTGGGTTTTTAATCTCTATTCTTTGCTAGGGAAGAGAAGTCATGTAGGGAAGCAACCAATCTGAAGTCCGAGTGCTTTTCATAGAACAGTGTAACACCTGCTTTCTACCAGTTCCTTGCAACTTCACTTTTCTTCCTACATCGGTACTTCTGTTTTCCCCCTACTTTGGTGTTCACGCAGCGAGGAAATTCAGTGCTTCTTTGCAAGAAAACATAGGATGTTATTAGCTGCCGTTACACATCTGCAGCAGCTTATTCAACCGATTGCATTGTCACCCAGGGGCAACAGCACACTTGTTCACTACACACCATCTCTAGATCAGAGCCCGATTCCCCCATCTACTCCATCCATTCTCTTGGAAAGATCCTTCTAGTATCATTAACATTTTGTAACAATATAAAGAAAAGGAAATAAGAGCTACATGCTTCCTTCCCCGGTAGAGAAATCACTTGGACATTATTTGTGCACATCTGAGCAAAGAAATACCCTTGCTTAGTGGTCACCTTTCAGAATCACATACAACCACTCCACATAGCAAAAGGTTCCACAGGACAGAGGAGAGAAGCTTTGGTGTGACATATGCATACATAAAGCAGTTACCAGAAAGTCCTTGAAGAGATAAGTGAGGTTCCTTCTACTAGGGTTGGCCATATTGGTCAAGAATAATCTTGATCAGAGAAGGGCTATGGAGCAGTTGCCCTCCCTCAAAATACCTGAGCTGCAGGTGACTATAGACTTAGAGCTTTTCCTGAGTTCTACAGACCTTCTCCCTTCTCCATGCAGGGAGAGAAGGGACTGCTACTTCTCCTTGAACTTGACATAATTTATGAATATGTGTCTCCAATAGATATTACCTATTTTTCCTTCCTCTCTCAGGAAAAGGGACAAAATGGGTCAATTAAAACTCATTTTCACTTTCAATCAAGATTTTTAGAGTGAATGATGAGCAGAATCTTGCAGCCTATACCTTAACAGCTACACAAGATCAGATCAGATCTTTAAGCAGATGCAGACATATGGAAGGTCAAGTTACATATGTTAGAGAGCTTACAGGCAAAGGAAAAAGGAGTCTAGTGTTTAATTCAGCTATCAAGTACTTTAAGTTACAGCTATTTTTTTTTTATTCTTTTAATTTTTCTTGTTGCATTTGCCTTTTGGTAATCAATGTCATCAGCATAGGAAGCAAAAAGCTCTAGTTTATATATATTAGAAAGCGTCAAGTTTGCTCCCGTAAGTCTTTCAACTGCACTTACCTCCTCACATTTCAAAAAACAGAGATACAGCCACATTTTAGGTCACAGTGTTAAACTGCTTATTCCCACGAGTGAAGTCACTGAAGCCATTAAAAAGTTGTGAGAAGTAAAGGGACAGGGGGAGAGTGCATGCATCCAATATCTACAACTCATATTGCAACCCAAAATAGCCTATCTATTACTCCTGAGAACAAATATTGGAGCTTTTCCATCTAATAATTAAAGAGGTAAAAAAAACCCAAACAAACTCTGCCAAGGCCAATAAAACACCAGCTTTCCAGAGAAAGACTCCTACATACCATATGTTACATAAAAAACCTGCAGCATACAGCAAGCCATACTTGCAGACAAGAGTATCAGGAAGTCAAGGTAGCTTATTAGAGCACATAGTAAGTTCACAGTAGTAAGGATGTGGCTTTTGCAACAAAAACAGGTATATCATGCTAAATTTATTCTGCATACATACACTCCAATGGCCAAAAGTCCATCAGCAATGATGGATAAAGCTCGAGGGACAAAAACCCCCTAATATTATTTGCTTTTTTGATTAAGAAACCATGTGTGAGTGTTTTCAATGATCTTGGCTAATTTACAATGGAAACTCAGCTGCATTAAAGTTTTGCTGGGACATTGAGAGAGGTGATCCTTTCCCTCTCCTCAGCACTGGTGGGGCCATACCTGGGGTACTGTGTCCAGTTCTGGGCTCCCCAGTACACGTGAGACATGGATGTACTGGAGAGAGCCCAACAAAGCAACATGAAGATGATGAAGGCACTGCAGCACCTCTCCTGTGAGGAAAGGCTGAGCCTTCAGCCTGGAAAAGAAAAAGCTGAGGGAGACCTTATCAATGTGTAACAATACCTGAAAGGAGAGTCCATAGAAGGTGGAGTCAGCCTCTCTTTAATGGCACACAGTGACAGGACTGGAGACAAACAAACTGAAACACAGGAGGTTCACTCTGAACATCAAAACCCACTTCTTTACTGTGAGGGTGACCGAGCACTGGCACAGGTTGCCCAGGGAGGTTGTAGAGTTTTCATCCTTGGACATATTCAAAAGCTGTCTGGACATAGTCCTGGGCAACCAACTCTAGGTGGCTCTGCCTGAGCAGGAGTTTGGATCAGATGACCTCCAGAGGTTCCTTCCAACATCAACCATTCTGTGATTCTGTGAAACTGCAATATCACTTCTGGTTATTTCCAGAAAAGTACCTCTGTGTCTCCTGTTCATAAGAGTCAGGAAAAAATCTTTCCCTGGACAATCAACTATTGGATATCCTCATGACTGACAAATGGTTAAATTCAGTACCTTAACTCAGCACAGTTAGGATGCTGGAGCATGGAGGGGATGAACACGGACAGGATGTTGGTTGGTTGGGTTTGTTAGGTTGCTTGTTTAGGTTTTTTTGGGGGTGCACAGCAGGGGTGAAATTAGCTTGTGTTTAGGCAACAAGACAGATTTTGAAAGTGTCGCTCTGCCTAAATGCTTACAAATTCCTCTTTCCTCATAGCTGCAGTGATTTAAATCTACTTGTTAAATTAGGGCAAGCTTATTTCACTACCTCTTAGATCAAACTTTAAGAGAATCCAACCGAACAAAGGCAGGAAACTTTTCAGTGTCTTAAAAACATGCCCAGTACAATCCAAAGAAACTGAGTGCATCCATAGATTCTTCCACACCGATATGTATGAATGCATACACTGAAGTGTATCCTTCCCCAGTCATTTTTAAGCCATGGAAAAGAGGACATTAAAGACAAGCAAAAATTCTATTTTAAAACCTTGTCTAGACAACATCTCTGACTTTAAATCGAAGTTATTCAAATGGATTAAATTAAAACAGTTTGGTCAATTTGGGGCTGGACCATACTACAACATGATGGTTTCAGCTGTCTCCTCAGGCAGGACCAAACTGGTCTAGGATTCAACTGTACTGCAGCTGTGTTTAGCCACATCTCTAGAATGGACTGCCATCTCTGGGAGGTGGAGAAGAGTGGCACGATACAGCCATATTATAATCTGCTTTGATCAAAAAGGTCCAAACCAGCCCCCACCTAAATCACCAATGAGTCAGAATCAAACATAATTAACTGAGAACCAAATTTACCACGCTGTGTCTCTGCAGGGCTATAGCACAACTTCAATAACTTGTTGCAGCAGAATGGTCACATCTTCACAGCCAGAATTATGGAATGTTTTTAACACTCATGTTATCATACACGATTCCTGCCCCAGGTCAAAGTGCAAACTAGTGTTTAACCTCCCGTTTTCCTCACCAACTATTAAATACAAATTCTTCTCTTCTTCAGCATGACCAAAGGAGTAAAGGCTGTTGCCAATGCATCATCTACAAAAATAGTTAGTCTTATAATTAGTGAGGAATAGAAAATACATTTTTTTTTTCCCCCCCATTTGACTAATCTATGCCCAGTACCACAGACAGGAAGGTACAAACTGTATCTGTTTAAGTGTAAAAAATATATACAACTATATTTAACATTTAAATTACTTTAAACAGAGCTGTTTCCATACTAACAATCTTATGTACATTCAGTTTTAAACAATACCTCTTTAATATACTCTTCTTTTGGTTAAAAAATTTTATTTTCCTCCCAAAATACCCAATGCTACTTTAAAATTCTGGAAGGGGGAAAATTTGAGCTATATAGAAAATAGCAAGATGTCTTACAATTGTAATGTATTATAGCACATATTGTTCATAAAAACAACACATCATTCAAAAACCGAACCATTGTAAAAGTTCCCATAAGTCCAACAGGACTGTCTTTAAAAGCTTACTTTGGTTAACAGCAAATCATTCTTAAACAATTAAGGAAAAATATATATATTCTTTTACCACCTCTACAGATGCATTTCCTTGGCATGTTGTAGCAATCCATATATCTTTATGGAAGAGCACTGCAGCTGTTCAGCACTGTGTTTGTATTGTGATTTCAATCAAATGGATTATATATCAGGTTGGATTGATTTATAATTAAATTAGTCCAACTTCTTAAGATCTCTGAATAAGAGAACTGTCTTCCTAAGACTTCCTAAGTTCTCTGGATATCAGAGAAAAACAGCAACACTAGTACTTCTTCCTCACAAGGTTGGTCTCGTGCACTACTTGCAATGGCATCACTAACTTGCATGAAACTGCCATTTCCCTACTTATCTTTCCAGGTCAGGAGATTAACACAACTTTTGCTCAGCACTACATACTCTGACACCCAGCCAATCGCACCAGACTCTGAATGTTCAGACAACTGAAGTGCCACTGGACTTCACGGTAATGCAATGATTTCCTCTGAGTCGTTATACGTATTTCAGGTCACATGTAGCCTTTATATCACTGAAACTTTACTCATTTCCAGGGGAATAAATGCCCACAGCTTTTGGCCAGGAAGAGGAAGTTGATCTTTATCTTTCTTCCCTCCTTGCACTGTGAAACCCTCTGATCCATCAAAAGTCACAAACAAAAAGGCAAAAATGTAAGATTCTGCAAGAAAAGAACACCGTATTAGTCACTATGCATCAGTTAAGCTGAAAAGTAGAGAAGTCTGACCGATGAACAAAGGCACTTGGTAACAGTCCTGTGAACAATAGTCAATGAGTCAACAATTTCAGTCTCGTGATCCAACTGACCAGCAGTGAGGGCTCTGCAGAGGAAGATTTTGTGGATGATGTAACAGAGGATTTTTTAGCACCGTCCTCTTGAAAAGGAATTGTTGCACTGTTGTGGAGGTCTGTATTCATAAAACACCTGCTGCCTCGAATATAATCCGTTCCCCTCACTAAATGCTTGTCAGACATTGGCCTTGAGAGGGGGTGTTGCATGGAGGGACTTTCTTCAATTATTGGGGGTATCCTTTCATTACTGAAGTACCTGCAGAGGACATCTTCACCTGCGAGAACAGGAAGAAGTAAAGCCATTATTGCTGCCTTCAAAATCCTACAGTAACATTCTCTAATTTTATAAAAAGATTCTGGTTACATTTCAAATTACCCAGATTTTGGTTACCTGCATAACACACCTGGACATAAGAAGCTGTCAATAGATTTATGGATTTTTGCATCTTTGATTTTTTTTTTTTAAACAACACACAGAACAACAAAAGAAATTCACACACAGAGAGGATACCGTTTGACTGTTAAATTCCAGGTTCGCACACCAAAACTGCTAGTATAGACTACCTTCATGCAAATCATTATCATGAGTGAGACCTGACAAACCTTCTAACATGTGTCATTCAAGATGCTGATGGACCAGAGCTGAATCCACATTTATCTGCATGTAACTCATAACTAACTTAAAAGCTACAAATATTACTCTGGACAGCAGAAATATTTTGCAGATAAGTATATAACCACTTCCCTGGTTTTGATCATCGATTTGTGATGCTTTTGCTGGTTTTGCTCTTCCCTAGATACCTGACAATGGCTGCTGCTAGAGACCTCCTACTGGGTTAAACCGGCCTTTTTTCTGACCCAAAACAGCTTACGTACAAGCCTGCAGCACTTAAGTACATTTCAAGTGTCAAAAAAAGCCAACACAAAACCAAAATCAAAACCGACAAAAAAAAGCCAACCAACATACACACAAAAAACAGACCTGCCACCCGGTGACTATCCTGTTAGGCTTGTCACTTAGCCTGTTTCTAATATCCCTCCAGGTTGCTACTTCTTGTTATCAGCTTCTATTTTTGCATTAAAACAATAGAATTCAGCTTTTATTTTCCCAAGAATTATACATCAGCTTTCATAACTGATTTCAAGAATAAACTAAATAGTCATCCTTTCTTATTTCCACTAACAGGACTCATACCCTTTCAGATGCAAAAGAGGGGAGGGAAAGAAAGGCAGTGGGGGAAGGAAAAAAGCCACCCAACCTAATCCCCAGTATTATCAGCTTCTGTCTGTCTCCCATTCTGTGGCATCTGCAGAATATGTTGTTTTCCTACAGCAGTCATAGCAAAAAGCAACTCCTAAAAAGGCCCTACATTTTACTTTCGAGAACAAGCTTACTTCTACAACAGCCTCCACAGTGAACTAAACAAACAGAAAGACTTGCTAAAAAAACCCCTTTTATGATCAATATTAACTGCAGAAGAAAGGGAAGGGGGCTGTGCAAAAGCAAAATGGAAAATTTGTGCTATAAAGAGACAAGTACAGATCTGTCCTAGTCATTCTAGCCTACATTTAAAGCTTACAAGAATTCTAAGATGGAACAATAAAAGTTTGAGTCCCAGCAATTAATAACCTCACAGATTTCACAACTACCATCCAGCATTCATGCTAAAACCAACAACTACCATCTTGGATCAGTTCAGGAATACGCCAGCTCTAATCCTTCCTTCTTAATTCAGGCACTTCCATACTTGCCTTTTCTCCCTGGTGCTCGTGGCCTAGAGAAGGGTTCTGCAGCTCCTACCCAGCTCCCATCAGCTGGCATTGACAAAGGACGAGGTTTTCCTACAAGCAAAAGAGAAGGTTATGAGGAATTACATTAAGTTCACAAAAACAATTTATAAATTGATACTTCTCACAATTAAGCAAAGGGAGAGATACAGCAATACGCAGTTAAAACTGCAGAGAAGAAAAAACAAAAACAAAAAAAAAAAAAAAATTTCACAATTAAGCAAAGGGAGAGATACAGTAATACGCAGTTAAAACTGCAGAGAAAAAAAAAAAAAAAAAAAAAAAACAAAAAACACACACACACAAAAAAACTAAAGATACTTCCGCTGGTGAAATATAAGAAAACAATGTGCTGAGATTGAACAGCCACACTCTTACTCATTTACGGCAGCAGTGGACATAATAACCAAAAGTTCTAACCAAAATGCACCTGGAAATGGCCAGTCATGGCAGCTGAGCCCAGCTAAATGAAATTCATTAAAGAAATAACAGCATTTAAGTGAAATTATTTCAGATGTGGAATTTCACTCACTTTCACAGTTTGCACAGACTGCCCTTAATATCCATCAAGTCTAATGAGTAGCTTTCAAACATAAGTTATTCCAAACTGACCAAAGTGTTTATCACAACAGCAATAATGAAAGAGTAATGAACTTACCATAAGACTGTGTTTTTTCCCTCATCTTGGCTGGTAGGATATTTGCTTCCAAGCAATATCCAGGCAACTGATCTGAATCAGTAATAGTAAACCTTCGCCTTCGACTCTCCTGATCCAGAAAAGAATTGGGAGATTCAGCACCCTTGGATCCCAGTAGTGGCTGGCTGGGTTTGTTGCCTCCTCCATATACAAAACTCCCCTTTTCATCTCTGAAAGGACATTTCACTTCAGTTAGTGGCTTAAGAGAGTTTCATACTAGAGACACGAGTAGGTTTGAAAGAGGCTTCTAAGCCCCTAGACATGCTCCTGACAACTGGCATTGTGCTGCAAACAAGTTGAAGAAAAAACAAGTCAGGTGATGGAAGACTTCATTATAAACACATTTACCAAAGAGAAAAGAAGGCTACCCCCTTACGCTAATTCACTTTTAATGAGACAGCAATTTAACATACAGAGAAGTTTAGAGGTATCACCCCTGAAAATGTTTTTAAGAAATGAGACCTTCCTGCCCTGTGGGTATCAAAGCTCCCAATTCACTGCCTCCTCAGTACACAGTTGTGACAGAAGACTGCATACATAGATTTATCCATCTCTGTGTAATGGCAACACCTATTGCCTCCATTGCTATGCTTTTCAGTCATTTTAAGAGCCCAATAACTGCCACTGGATGGATATTCATCACCTTCTCCCTTCACCCAAAAGTGAGACCCCCTTGAGAGTTTCAGTAATAAATTAATAGTGTCTATACATGCAATTTTGAGCACTTCGTGCAGGAACTCCCTTCTCAGAGCAATTCTTCATTCCAAAGGTCAGAAACAGTCATTTTTAGAACCACCCCTTATGAGTACTTTTGGAAGAAAAGCTACCCTCCAAGTTAAGATTTGCCTGAGATTTGTTTGGTTTTTTTTTTTTCCCCTTTCCTGTACATGCTACAGTCTTACTGCTTGAAGCAACCATCAGCCAAGTCAGGCATAAAAATACACAGCTGACTGCCTAAGCACATGCATACCCCAGTATTTACAACAGCTCCCTGGCCAGCGCATACCACTTTTTCCATCTCTCCATCAAGAACAATGCTAGAGCTTAGTGAATGGGAGGGAGCTATTTATGGAGATTCAGGGACAAAAAACTGCTCAGAAGTGTTACACCCCAACCATATGTACATGGAGAGCTCTCCTACAACACCACCATGTGGAGACTGTGCAGTGGGGAGGGAAACCAGCCACTGCTCTCTGCCTCCCCAGCGTGGACCAGACAAAGCCCGTGCCAGGAAGGGAAGAGGATGATGAGGGGGGAAAAAAGAAATGACCATACAAGTGCACCAGTTTCAAGAGGAGATCATAACAAGCAGAGGTGAAATTAAAGAGACAAACAAGGTGAAAGAACTGCCCTTGCTCCTCTTCCTGACTGCTACAGCTTCCCATGTTTGCTTTCTTTAAAAGTCAAAGTCATGAAGCATTCCCCTTTCCACACATCATCCAGGACAAGTTTTACAGTTTGCATTGGTACTTCCTTCCTTGTTAAGAGGGATTCGGGTCTAAAGGCATCTGAAGCCAGGTATAACTTTGTGACTCTTTAAGAAAGAGATAAATAAACTGAACACATGCACAGAATTCACAAAAGTACTTGAAACGTAACGATTTAAAGAAAAGACCAAGGCATGCTAAACTCAGCTGTTGAATATACATACTTGGTTTTATGCCAAGAATTTTGATTATTTTAAATATTTTTTTTAAGAACTTAGCACACATAAACATGAAAAACAGGGAGACAGCAGGTCAAAGTGGGTCCAAGTTCAGTAAAGAGACCCCACATTGGAGAAACCCTCTCCCCCCACCCCAGTACTGCCCTGAAGACTGCAGTAATACAACCTCTGTCTCTGTATCAGGCCTTACATGACAGGAGACAAGCTCTCCTCCCATATGAGTCCCATATCAGAAGGTCAGAGTTTCTGCACTGGGCTATCTACATGTAACCTAAAGTGTCAGGGCAGGCCAGGAAGCATACCCAGCCTGAAAACTCTTTTGTCCACCATCTTCCCAGGTCAGCTGGCAGGGTTCTGCCCTAAGTCAACATGGACTTAAGAACAAACATAAGCTAGCCATACCATTCCCTCACCACCTCTTTTGTGTACACAGGTCTGCATTTTTATAGCTTACACCGCAAGGAAAAAAAAATAAAGTCGAATGAATTGACTCTCCCTTCCCTTCAGTATTCTTGTTTAATACAACTTGCAAGTTTAGCAATTTAAAACAACTTCTTTTCTATCCTAACTCACAACAGTTACTGAACTTGCTAAAAAAAAAAAAACCTCAACATAAAACAGTGGAAAAAGTTACAGACAAAAATGTCTTCTTGCTATGTGCAGACGGATTTAAGTAAAATCAAAAACATAACCCCACAACAAAACCAGGGATGACATCCATTCGTGTTTTGAGAACAATTATGATCTATGTGGCACACAAAAATTTTTTAATAATAACATCTATTTCAATCCTGGTAGTTTATGCATTTAAATATTATCTAAGCAATCCTATGCATTTCAGTAACTAGAAGAAAGTCTGAGATCTGCAAATTCCTCAGGTTAATTTGCACAGAGCTCTAACAGCAAGTCATCTCAGAAACAAGTGTAATAAAGGAGTTTTTTGTTCAGTAGTGTATGTTTATCTGCATACCGAGGAGAATACGGAACAGCTGGTGGAGGTGGTATATACAGATCCAAAATGGCTGGCTTCTCTTTTTTCAGTGAGGTATCCGTGGTGCTTTCTGGTGACTGGGTTGAAGCTGGCAGAGGACTGGTCTGAAATGTTAGACAGCTATCAAATATCTGAGCACTGATTTATCATTCACAAAAAGAGAATTCAATAATCAATAGTACCATTTCATCCCCTATTTTTATGCTTAATAATCATGTTAAAAACTCTTAGCATTTATATTTTCCTCCACCCCTAGTTTTGGCTAGCTTTTCAGTCCCTCCTACAGAAATCCCACCACAGGTAATGCATTGCTCAAGAGTATCTTGCTCTTTCCAGTTCTATTTTTCCTGCAAATTCCATAGAGAGAAAAAGCAAAGACAAAAATCCTTCTTCTATTTTTAGATCCATTAAAAGAATGTAAATTGTTGAATACAGATACGATCTGTAACACTTACAAAGCCTGTTCACACTAACCCTTTTCTATACAGTCCAATGCCTGGGGCATGGACTCAGGCAGGAATATGGCCAAGTGAACCATAAATTGCATAAAGTGATATAACTAGGGTAAAGGAAGCAAATGAAAAATATAGTTAGTATTGTTCATCTAAGCAAGTTTGTCATCTTACTCTTTGTATCTCACTTCTTTGTCCCCAGCATCTTGCCAGTCTCCTGTTTGCCTCTAGGAGAGCAAAGGCTTGAAGGACCCTTTCACCTTTGTCAGGCAAGAGGATTGAACTCTCCCCTTTTTGTCAAGGGCCTGCCCAGGCTTTCAGTCTGGCCACTCAGTTAATACCACCCCTGCACAAGCATCTGCCTTTTGTTGGTCAGTACACTGAGCTCAGAACTGTCAACACACCTCTCCAATGAATCATTCCTCCAAGAAAATGCTGCTTGGAACAGCCTATATCTCAGCCCACCTCAGATCTTCACACCAGCAACACAGTCCTTGCTTTGGAAAACTCACAGGATGGTGTTTTCTATTCTGTGGCTCTGATTAAGTGGCAGGCACGACGCCACAAAAACAAGACACAGGCATTGGTGAAAGGAAGGATAAGATAGGAGTCAAGCATGCATCCCCTACCCAGTTTGAGAGAAGTCTGCCTGCCTCGAGACTTGCAATAGCCACTGGCATTTCACAGGTTAATAATCTACCCTCACAGCTGCTGGAAGACTTATCTCAGAACAGGAGTAGGAATGGGAACTCTCCCTGGTTTTCTTTATTTCAGGTAATCAATTTAGATTCAATGAGGTTATTTCCTTCTGTAAGCATTAAGCTCTAAGCTTCCTAATATAACATGTCATTCCTCAACATGGTTATTTAAGTTATTAGCCTCACTCTTTGTCTACTCATTACCCAATCTGTGAATTGCCCATCAAATCTTATTTAAACAAGTAGTTTAAATAACCTTGAAAACACTCGCTTTTTCTCACCCTTTACCAGACTAAAAAGAGGACAAATACATAGAATATTCTAAGTTATTTCAGCAAAAACTTATTACTCTGTTAATTAGAGGAAGCATTTAATACTCCATGCTGATGAATTCCATACATATCAGCAGTTTCAGCAATTTTGACTCCAGTGAGTTCTCCCAGCAGCGTGCTGACTGATTAAAATGCTCAACACACCTAGTCCCTTTGTGTATCAAGAGGGGATTATCTGGGTTTAAAAAAAAAAAAAAAAAAAAAAAAAAAAAAGCCAAGAACATTTTCCCTTTTCTCTAGTACCCAGAAGAGGAGGACAGCTGTTCCACCTAACCTTTCCTGATCTATACTTAAAACATGAATACCTGGGAGCATTTTTGGTATTTCTCTTTTTCAAGTTGTAACCAAGGCACTCCCATCCCAACACTACAGTTGAGCCAGCAGCCTCTCACCTGCACCAAGGGTGGTTTCCAGCGCAGGTTCTTTAGTGGAGCAGGAGTGAAATGGAAAGAGCCAGTAGGACGTTTCTTAAGCAGCAGCCTAACTCCAGCAGGATTCTCTCGCAACTTTGCCACCAGATTTTTTAGTTGCCATCCAACCTGGAAGAGAATAAAGACATCTTTTTTTTAGCATTGCTTTTCTGAAAGTGAACAAACAAGAAAAAAAAAAAAAAAAACAAAAAAAAACCACACAAATAAATCAAGGGCCTGCCCAGGCTTTCAGTCTGGCCACTCAGTTAATGCCACCCCTGCACAAGCATCTGCCTTTTGTTGGTCAGTACACTGAGCTCAGAACTGTCAGACCTCTTCAATAACCCATTCCTCCAATAAAATGCTCTGTTTTCACTGTCTGTTTTAACATGAACCTAAGACAGAAAAGAGATCCAAAAGCCAGAATGAAGAAAAAAAATGGAAAGCTCCTTTTTTGGAAGGAGCTTCTTTGTTTTGTTTCAAAGAATGATCTCTACTTAAGCTGTAAATTAAACCTTGAGATATCAAGCACTGTTCTTTACATCTCAGCTCCAGTCCTAGAAGGATGCATGAATGTGCTCAAATTGAGTAACACAGGGATTCACAGTGAACTACTTTGTCATTTAGCTTTCTCACATTGAAGGCATCGCTTACCTCTGCTAAGCAAAAGCGTAATCTTTTTAAGTTCCTAGATGCAAATGATTTAACAACTATTTGGTGTTTTTTTAAAGCCATTCTTATCTGCATTCCAGTAGATTGTAACTGCATTTTAAAGCAGGCCTTAAATACAACATTAAATATTTTAATATGATGCATACGGGGTTTGAACACGAAATACTGCAGATTTATTTTATTGAAATATTGCAAAGAATTAATTGTAAGTCCAAGTAAAATTTTTCTTGAAAGCAAAACATTAAAAAGTCTCAAAGATTTCAACAGGGAAAGACCAGAACCATCTCCCGACCCCATCCATTCAGAACCTTTGGGGAGTGAGTTTTGCAGAGCAAGCGTAAGGGCAGATTAGTAAGGCTGCTTGTTACTAACCACAGTTTGCCGATTAACCTGGATCACTTCATCCCCAGCATGAATCTTCTGAGATCGGTCAGCAGGGGACTACAAGGAGGAAAACAAGAGACACATGCTTCAGCTGGTTTTCTTCCACCCCATAACAACCCCCACCAAGCTAAGTCAAAGGTTGTACCTATAATGAAGAGCATTGCTGAAAATTTTCACACAGTTAGATGTGCTGGACGTTGCATCTGCTGATGACTTGAGAAACACAAACTAATTCAACTTACAATTTATTTTTTACACTGAGGGAACTAGAGAGAAAGGGAGAAGGCACAGCCTACATCTGCCACAGGCCAACCATACTTAAGTGATGAGACAATCTCCACTGTACTTTTGCTTCCAGTTTATACTGTAGTCCCAGGCAGCAGCGGGAGAGGACTGAAGAGAAGAATTCTATCCTAACACAGCAACTATCTTAAACTTAACTTTCAAATGAACATATATTGATTTAAAAAAAAAAAAAAAAAAGATTTTGAATGTACAGAATCGAGGACCAAAAACCCTTCAACCCACAAAACAGATCCATCTCACTTTCTCTTTTTGTCTCCTAATGTAAATAAGAGCTACCAACTTTAATGTGAAATTATCTCTCTGCATCATGATGGTCAACAAATAAAATATATGTTTGCACACATCAAGTGTGCTTAGATAGGTATTTTCAAATACTTATCTAATAACAACACACCTTAGAACACGTTTTTCTTGGAACAAAAACCAAGCTCTGGGGAGCCATTAGTGAGGAACAGCTAAATGTGTCAATATTTATTTAGATTTATCTATGGCTGGTGCCACACACCACCTATCACTGCAGTTTTTAAATAACTGCCACACTGCCGTAACACACCAACTGTGACCAGCCTTGACAACACCCAAAGCGCACAGGCATATTGCCTTGGTATATTGCACCTTGGTCATGGGACAACTTGTCCTCCCATTCCCCCATCTCATGAGTAACGACCTGGCAGCAGGCCAGCTCTTCTTAGTGACTCCAGAACTGAGGACTTGGATTAAGGACTCCCTTCTCTTCACCACATCTTCAGAGCTCAAGTACTTTTTTTATTAGAAGGAACTGTAGGAATAAACAGTGCAACAAGGAAAGACAACATGGGGAAATTTGTGGAAGGCTCCAGCTGTCATGAGTAACCCCATTTCTTCATTGTCTTCTCGCTTCCTATGAGAGGAAATGCCTCTGTGGAAGGCCACACACATATGAGTCAACCAAGATAATGAAAAAATGCTGGGCCAAAGTCAAGTTTGTGAAAAACAAAGCTCTTCTCAAGCTGTCCTTTGGGTGATCAACAGCCTGTCTGGAGAAGGGTGGGGGACCCTTACACAGAAGACTCTTGCAACAAGTGCCCGCTAGCACAGCAGAGACTGCAATCGGATTGTGAGAGTGGGAGAGAGAGCAAAGTTTAGATCTACGCCAACGTGAAGTGGAAAGTCACAAGTAAGATGGCGCAACTCAGGAATCCTCTTGGTTGTCTGGTATCAAATGCGTCCACATTCTGTGGATAGCTATTAAAATATCATTCCAAATCTAGGAAGAAAGGATCATCTAAATGATCCCACACCAACAGAAAGACTCAAGTTGTTTATAGATCTCTCTGTCACTTGTCAAGTGTTGTTGCTCCAAAGGAAAGAGCTTCCCCAAAGGAAGAACTAGTGTTCATAAAAAAAGTAGATGTTTAGGTCAACACTCAAAGCTATTGAAGCAATACAGCCCCACTCCTGGCCTCCAAAATAAGATCTATATGCACAGGGAGCTTGGCAGCAGTCAACATTACATTCTTTCACATCTATCAGATGTTGAAATTGCTGTCAAAGTAGACTTGGCCTCCGTTGCAGATCCTATGCAGACTTCTGCCAGGGCAATATAGCATAAAAACTATAAGAGCTTTCAGTTTTCACTCTGAACTGCAAGCACAGATTTCCACCCACTCCTCCCTGGCCCTTGGACTTGGCAGGACTACAACTAGAACCACTGGTTCTCTCTTATTCACAAAAAAAAGAAAAAAAAATACATCACTGCAAAAGCCAAATTCCTCCACTCCTTTTTCTTTCAGCCACTGCTCCTGTAGAGCAGCACGTCTGACAACACCACAGCATCATCCGCCAGCCTCAGCTGCTGGCAAGAGGTCCACTGTGCTGACTGCCCAGAAGCCTCTAACAAAGTCTCAGCTAGAGAACTCTCAACATAAGAATAAAACAAGCAAAAAATACAGTTGCCTATCATTCCAACCATTTCCTTCCAGCAGACTGCTCTTTAAGCCTAACTTTTTCATAGTCTTTTTACTCCACAAGGTAATTTTGTCACTGGACAGCTCATTGATTTCATTACTCATTACTGAATTTAGCACACTATCACCTAAACATTCCCATTAGGAGAGATTGCCTTTGCCAGCAGAGAGCAAATGCATTCAAGACTGTTAAACAAGATACCATAAGCACTCAGAACAGCAGATACAGTAACTTATTAAAGCAATTATTTTAATGCCAAGCATTTGAACTAACTCATGTACTTGCAGAAACTGGTTTAATTAGACTAACAGTGAAACATGCAGAGACAAATATTTACAAATTGTGGATAAACAAATCATGCATCACACAGCATTTAAAGCAGTAATATTATGAAAGTCATATGCAAACCAGGGAAAAGTAGTAAAAAAGTCAAACTCAATCAAAGCTACTGTCAGACAGCCTGAGTTAATCTACATTTATTTCACTTACGTTTTCTGTAGTTCCAGTAATTACATGCAATCCATCATAAGTTGATTTGATGTACATTCCCTAAATGTAAATAGAAAATTAAGAACAAGTTTGAAAGCAAAAAAACCCACGTAACTTATCTGATTAAACAGCTGTTGGCAACAGACTCAAAACATTATTAGAAACACTTACCAGTTCACACATTTTCCCTAGAAAAGTGTGTGGTCTAATATTACAACATTTCAAACCTCTTCACAGATCACTTTTACTGTAATTAATTATAATATTTATAATGACTCTAAAACCCAAATATATGGAATGCAATTTAGAAACACTATCTGGTTGGCAATACCAAACACTGCTGATTTTGCTGCCTTGTCGGTCTTTCACCTCAAACAAAACTTAAATTCCTTACTGCTCAGTCTGCACTAGAGAATTACAGGTTTTACTAGATGGCCACCAGCTCTATTCACACAAAGCACACTTACACAGATGGGCTACAAATATTCTACATGTTCTTCTACAATTTCTCTTGGCAAGTCAATATACAGACTGCCTTGTAACCAGTGCTGACATAAGCAATAAAAGCTCTGGCAGAAGTATTTGTGGCTGTGTATGTTAATGCTGAGTGTGAGTGCAAGGACAAACTCAGATGAAGTGGGTGTTGACCATATGAACACCAAATTAAAAATCACTGACAGGCTATTAACTAATAATTACATAGATTTCCCCACAAGAGGAGACCAGAATATTAGTTTCATTATTCATGAATAAATACCACATCTCTTTATTGTTCCTACCTACATCTGTTTTTAGCAGTATTCACACTGAACTGTACAGAATTGGATGTTATTAAGGAGTCACATGCAGCTTATGTGCCCAAAGTTACCAAGCTTGCTTAGAAATGCAAGGGAAAAAAAAGAAAACCACAAGATTTTTTTGGCCCTTCCTTTCCAGCCAGTTCCCTTCCCTGCTTGCCTGTCAGTATCCAATCAGATACACCTACATCCTCATTTCTTACTTAGTCCAAGCTAGGCTGACTCCTTTGTTGTAGCTTATGAATTAACAGAGAGGTCCCCATAATTTCAAGAATGCATGACTGATTCAGTCAAATCCAATGGCCTAGGTAAAACTACAGAGCACAGTAAGACTGTAAAGCTTCCCCTAACAGTGTTCATCTCCTCTGCCTCCGGGGTCAGGGGGAATACAAATGCACTTAAGAATTTAAACTCCCTCCAACTCATTCTAACATGTCTGTTCCCCAGTCAGGAAATCCACCAAGATTTCAAACTCAGTTTCTCATAACCAGCACTCAGCTAAGCAGCATCCACTGAACAAACTAGATTCAGTAATGTTACACAGCCACTGAACATTTAAAAGGATTTATTGTGTTCCTGCTAACAGCAAGCCTCAAACATCTTCATATTCTTCATAATCTTGCTATAAACACACATAAAAATGTGTCTTTCAAAACACAAACAGCATTTCTCATCATCTTCTCCCTACCCCAGGCCCCACAGAAAAACAGCTGGTTAAGGTAACTTACAAAAATAAAATCACTGTTTTCATAGGCATCTGTATATTCCCAAACATCCTGCTCTAAGACACAAACCTGCAACACTTTACCAGCAAAAACTATATTTGGGATCAAACCTATTAACATGCATACCCATCACTCCAGTGAACCTTCAGAGTTTCTCTCCATGCCTCTTTCTGTTCTCCACAGGATATTAATGTTTTTGAAATATCTTACTATACACACGCATGCAGGGGCTCACAAGACTACTTATTAAACACTGGGGACATCAGGACACTCCAGAATCAGCTCTTACCAGGCCTTCCCCAGGTTTAATGTTGGTTAAATGAACCTCCTCCAGACACGCACACTGGCTCATCAATGGATCTGTAGTTGACCGGATAGCTCTATCACAAATGCCATTTAAAGTCTTGGCCTACAATGAGAACATATGAAAATCAGTTACAAAATTTCTCTCCTGGCTTCTTCCTCTTTTGGTTTTTAAAAATGGAAAGGCAATTAGTTCTAAAACTTGGTCCACTAATAAAGCATAGCTAAGAATTGCCGAGATAGAAGATTCATTTGTACAGATCTGTTCTACAGCATGTTTATCTTCTTACTGAAACCTAGTACAATCTGTTTCCATTAGTGCTACCTCATCATCTCTAATAGATGTCAACACATCCTCTGTTTAAAAAAAATAAACACACAAAACACAGAAAAAAAAAAATGGTTTGGAGTTTGTTTGCTTTAACTAAAACACAATCCATTAAAATACTGAAACATTTTGATGATTCCCTGTAGGAACAATTAACAGTTTCTCATATTGTTCTTTATTTCTGCTATTAGAATAAAATTGACCAGTGGTGCTGACCAGTGGTGCTAGCCACTGACTTATCTGCACAAAACTTTACAGTATAAGGTAGGAGGACATCCAGCATGTAAGCGTTTCAGCATTACTTCTCTCCGCTGTGTCTCTGAGCTGACCTCTTCTGGAATGCTTACGCAGGCAAGGTTCATATTTCCTTTTGACCAAAGCATAACTGATCCTAAGCCAACATTATAACTAAAGGCGAATTCTGACCTTGTGTGTGTGTCAGTAAAGTCAGAGGCAGAATGGCTTTGTCTTGTATAACTTTTACCTAGTAGAAGTAAGTAATCAGAAGAAAAAAAAATGTAAAAAAATCTGTGCCATCCCTGTACACTCACAAATTTCACTAATGCCCCACAGCGTGTTCGCAGTCTTGACATTAACTGAAGCAATGCTGAAATTCAAAGTAGGTTACAAAAGCTTAAAAAAGAGGGGAGGGAGGATTAGTACACAGTACAGTAGTCAGTTATACCTTGTTGGTTCCCAAATTGTGTAAGTCACCTTTCACAACAGGTTTGAATCCTTCAGTCAAAGTAGACACATGCAATTACAGGGAGTGGGGGGAGTTTTCTTGTAGGAAGACTTTGGTTTGGATTACAATGGGCCCTGGAAACAATAGTTCCAAGGTTTTTTGTTTCATTTTACATCAGATTTATAGAGCAGCAATAAAATAAATCAAAACAATGCTTAAGTGTGAATGTGAGGAACTGCTCAAACAAGGGAACTCCAAACAACAATACCTACTTCCATAGTGGGTGTGCGCAAATGGAAAAAGAAAGAAGAAAAAACACTCCCTTTTACGTGGTCTTATTATTTACAGACAAAATTATTTTTAGTTATTGTGCTACTAAATTCCTAAGCATCTATGAGCTAGCGGAAGGCCTTATCAAAGAGCACAGCCTGGTTCATGTCAAAAGCAGGAAGCGATGATTAACTGTTTAAAAATATAAAAAGCATTCCATTACGCTCCTCATTTGGTCACAAGGCTGCTTCAGACAACACTGAAAACTCAGATCTTTCAAGCTCAAGTACAATTAGAGACAGAACTTCAGTTCTGTGGCAGGGCAGTTCTTCTACACGAAGAAGTTTAATAAGGCAGCATCTGCTTATTAAGGCACTAAATACACATCACAGGCATAAATGGTTTATTTAGTCTATGATCATTCTACAGTACCCCTCCCTGCAAAATTAGAGATCTAAGTTCTCTTGAAAAAATCATTGTGCAATGAAACCAAGGAATACTTGAGTCTGTGCTATTACATACACTGCTCCTCTGTTCAAATTTCATTGATTTCCTCTACAGTAAAGAATATTCACAAAATGGTCCATAACACTGTTTATTTGCATGATAAGCTTGTATGTGTGGGATTGGAAAGCTGTAGTCAGTACAGCTGGCATAGAAGTCACTGAAACAAATGTGAACGCAGGCAAGCTGAGCTTCAACAGAAACATGTACTTACTACAGTCTGAACTTTATCTTCCATGTCAGCCACAGTGCAGTCCTAAAAACAAAACAAGAACAAAAGCCCTACATTAATCAATAAACATGTAAACACATCATCTCTGAAAATTCTGCAAAACTGCCACTTTAACCTCTAACTGAAATAATTATTCTTGCTGCAGGGATTAATCAGATTAGTTTCACCCAGAAGGGCTCAAATGTACTGTTAAACAACTATTTTCTGGCCCTGGTACAAAGCAATAATAAACCCTGGAAACTAAAAGAACATGGGATTCAATTACAGCAGCAGACTATTCCAGAAAAGCAGAACCCTGCACAATAAAACTAGACTGTCAGAAGGTCAGGCACACAAGCTTGCCTCACACTGATAAACCCCGACTCAGGTGCTCTTCTGTCTCAGGCATCAAAATGGATCTAAAACATATTGTTAAAAATAGAATGAAAAGTGATTTTTTTTTTTTTTTAATATGCCGTCGATGACATTCCTGAGGGCCAGAGGACTGCACACAAAGCATTATTTACACAGCCCAGGTACAAAAGTGTTTCAACCAAAATAAGTTAATGTAACAGGCTACAGAAATCATCATTGTTTTCTGCAAGAACAGCTGAACTAGAGAATGGTTTTGGACTCTCAGATTAAAAAGTTATAACAGCAAGTAAGTAATGCAACAAGATTTACAATATCTATAAGGAGAATGCTCCCAAACCCCAAGCATTTAAACAAGCTTAAATTCAAAGATACTTGCTGCTGACATCTCAATCTGCAAAACTATCACACAATGCCTAAGAGATCTATCCAGGAGCTGTGAATTGAAGCTGTTCTATATTTCTGATCATTCTCAGCAGTACTTCTGTTCCTTCCGAGCTCTATTCTGTGTTTTTAAAGATAGAAGTCCAAAAAAGCATACAGTCCTCCAGATATGGATACACCAGGGATATATAAAATATCTCAGCTATGTTCTCTTTTACATTTTAATAGTAAGTCTTAACCTCTTGTTCACTGTTGTGATGACCACTGAGGACTCGGCTCACACTTTTTTCAGCCCGTCACGAAAAGCTTCAAGATCTGTCCTGAATGCTACTACCAAATTTAGATTCCATCATCATGCATCAGCATCATTTCTCTGACAAAAACATCTGCATGAATCAATAGTGAATGTCACCTACCATCGTGCAGCCCAGTTGCTCAGTATCACAAAGTACTTCTGCTGCTCTTCATTTTATATTTATGTGGATTATTATTCTAACCCTAAAGTTTGCCAAAAAACATTAAAAAACAATGGAGCAAACTCTGTTCCTTATATCTAAACAGCTGTCACTAAAGTGAATTGGAATCTTACTGCATTCCAGTCCTGCCTTATTATCTATCCACTTTTACACATAATTTATGGTTATACAGAGCAGCATTGGTTCCACAAGAGCCACATCAGTCTCTTCTCCATTATGAGAAGTGACCACTTATTCCTACATTCTATTCCCTAATAAGAAATACCTTTGAAGTCTAAAAACTCACCTAAAGATTTTTCAACTGTATTTCTCTTTTCTACATGTCAGTGGACTCCATCAGATCATTCTAACATATTTGCAGTGTCCCAGGACAAAATAGTGTTGATTCTTCCCCCATTAATGCTTTTTCCCTTATACACCAATCCCATTCTTTATTATAGCTCACATCAAATTGTCAGAGAAGTACTCTAAAACTTTTTAAAAGGCTAGGGTTGGTTTGCCAGTTTCCATTCCCCTGCCTTCAAAGGCTGATTTAACTGACAGATTAGACACCCTTTTTAGTAGTTTTATTAATACAGTTCAGCAATCTCATATCTCAGTTCCTGTAGCACTCTTGGGTGAACACCATCTGCTGCTAGAAACAGTTACTGTTCTACTTCCCAATCTGCAGATCTGTAGCTGTAAATCACTGACTTTCTGCAATTGCACATGTAGCTCCCAAACAAGAAGGGCATTCAGCAGCAAGCCAAACTTGTGCGTCTTTGAACTTCTAATACCCAGACACTATCCTTTCACAACAATCCAGCTGATATAATTGAGTACCATAATAGTTTGACAATTCACAGGATCTTTCTGTCCTTTGACATCATCCCCTACAAAACAGGGAGAGGAGAATCACCCATGTCACAGGACATGGCTCTTCAGAGTTCAAACAACATATGGCCACAGATTAGTGGCTACAAGCAGGTTTGGCAGGAGCTGAAGCCTACACATCAAGTTTCACAGCCAAAGCAGTGGCACACTATTAGAACAGTTTTGAAGACAGCCACTGTTATTGAGAGAGCAAAATTACATTACTTGCCAAGACTGTCACAGTTTTTATGTGCTCTTTTAGCTGTTATGAGTGCTCATCACACAACTGATAATGGAAAGTTTTGAAACAAAACACTGTGTTCACACACACCCTGAGCAGAAGAAGCCTGGCTAGCAGGATTTATATCATAAAGGTGGCAGCTCCTTCTGTTACATGCAGCATTTCTCATCTGATGGCTCAAACACTCTATATGGGACAAGACCTAAGGAGTGTGCAAGTGTGGGTATAATAACCAATGGAGTAATATTTTTGTTTAGAGTTAGCACTGATAACTGATTTTCAATATGTTGTTTGGAACTTTAAAATCTTCAAGTGCAGACCAACTATTTCAAAAACTAACCCTCTTTCCATTAAAGCTCAAGAAAATATGAGTAGCCTTTAAACCACAGTCACTTAAGCAATAGCAAAATTGGAAATTAAGTGTGTGTGGGGGAAATCCCAAACAACTCAGAAAAATGGACAACTGAAACTGACCTTCATAAACCTTCAAAGTTCGAAGTAAGCTCTTATTTCCAGATCTGCCTTCCCATTAGCACTCTGCACACAGCAAGCACGTTACTTCCCCAAACATCCCCATTCCTTCCCCTTAGGAAAACAAAGGGGAAAAATCAGCTGACCTTCTGAACAGTAGTAGTGAGATCCAAGCAGAGTTGAATGATTCTGTTCTTCATTGATGAAAAGTCAGCAATACCTGTAAACGGAGTCCTGCAACAAGAGAAAAATCCCCTTGTCTAGTCCTGTGGTGAGCAAGTTCAGAGAGAAGAAAATTCCCCTTAGATCAAAGGGACCAGTCTTCTCCCATCCTGCCTTATCAGTGAGGAACAGCACGTGAGAGCAAGAGCTGTAACTCTGACATCCATACAAGCGTGAGGACACAGTTCTACAACATAATTATTCCTGACTGCATAGTCCTGCTCCACCCTTGCACCAAAACTGATGAATGTCTAGTCCTGTGGTGAGCAAGTTCAGAGAGCAAAACCAGAAGAAATGGTCAATTTTCTAAACTACAGTTCTCCCAGCTGTATGCTCAAGTCATATCACACTGACTGCATTGTAAAAATCACACCCTTGGGTTTGCCAGTGAGTAGATTTCTACCTTCCAACTCTGATTACTAAACTCAGCCTGGAGAGAAAAAAAAAGTCTCTAAAAGAAGAAAAATGGATTTTCACATTTTACACACAGAGGTGCAGTGAGGCTCAATCTTAGAAAATAATCGTTACAGGTAGGATGGCCTTTAAAACCTGTAGAGTCTCACTTCAAACCATCCAGACAGCTGAAAAGGCTAGAAGGGAGGTTTAGATCTATCTCCAATTTGGAAATGGACAATCCAGTCATCTTGCTGATGACAAGTTGCAGAAGAAATTTAGGGCAAGCTGCCAGCAACAGGGTGAGAGAGGAGGACCAGGTGAGAGGCACAAGCCTGGACACAGAACCATCTCATCACTGGAGAGCAGAGGTATTGAAGGATAAAAGCTCTCCTTGCTGCCGGTCCCCATGCAGCTCTCCTCCTAACCTTCCTCCTCAGGAAAGCTGGCAAGGGGTTTGAGAATTTACATTCATCTGTTACCCTGACCAGCATCCCAACCAGCACCAGACCGGCTCTGTTGCCTGCTTGCTTCCGCTGCAGCTGTCACAAAACAACCCTGGCTCTTGCCAGGCCAAAAAAAAAGTAATAAATAAAGGCAGACGCAGAGGGACAGGCTCTCCCACTGCTTGGTTTTCACATCATAGAGCTAAAGCCACAATTTCAGCAAAACATGCCAATGACAAGTAATTTAGAAGGTGAGAAGGTGAGAGGGGGAAGTTGCATGTATGAGAAACTGGCCTGAACAGGAAGACTCCTACTTTTATAAATACAAGTTTGGATGCAATGCTAACAGTTTCACTGATTTTGGCAAGAGTGGAAGCACAAGAGTAGATATCCTAAATTAAATTTGTCCACTACAGGCCTTCTGGCAATACCAAAAAAAGGGGTAAGCAACATCAAGAAGATCCTTACACCCAAGCATCTAGAAATTGCCCTGCAAGAAGAAACAATTCATTGCAGCAGTAAAGTATAAAGATTTTATTCTTACCTGTCCAACCATGCAAGTAAAGCTTTAGCAGCACCAATAAGCTCTACCACAGAAGTAAGGAATTCATTGGGGGGCTTGCGAGAGGTATTTCCATCATAATTTGAACTCTTCCTGCGGCTGCTGATGTAATTTTGCAGATTGTTGGATGATGCTCGCAGCTTGAGAACCAGGTTCTTCATGTTGTCTGTTTCAAGGCCATAGTTCTGCAAGTAATAGTATTAAGTTTGATAAATCTCCCTATTGAGTCGTCCTATTTATTATACCACAAGTTACAAACTCATCTGGGATGAAAGGTCTGAGGATTTGCCCAATTTTTCCTGTTTTGGTTTGGTTTTTTGGCAAAAATGCCTTCTAAGATTTTTTCTACACTACAGCCACTAAAGAATATTTTTGTGGGTGCCAAACCCCCTCAGTTTCTGACATTAATGAGATTTGAGGACACTTTTCAATCAGAATGAAGTCCCAGAGTCCTATCAGTTGTCATTTACCTTTAAAGTGTAGTTGAAGTAACAGGATTGGGTTATTTTTCTTTTTGTTAAGGAAATTTCTTAAAATGTTTTCTATACTGTGGTACATAAACAGTGAAGTAACATTTCATTCACAACTAAAGATAAATTTAATCTGGCAAGAGATAAAAACATCTACAGGAAGCAAATGCAATTTCACAGTCAAAAGTTGGAATAAATATTTGGATCACAAGTTTTCAGTAACTGTACTCCTTGATCACTTGCAATTATTTGCAAGTTTGAGGACTGCGTTAACACTAGACTTAATTAAAACCATTCTTAGACATCATATTTTTCATTCACCAGTATCTCTGTAAAAAATTTTCAAAACTAAAGTATCTGTAAGTCCTGCCTGTAACTTCAACTTTATACCACCAAACCACATTCTGTAAGATTAAAATCCAAGTGTTTTAAGCAACACATTGATCATCTCATTCCAAACACATCAGAAATGATATATCTGTTCTGAAGGCAACTCAGTTTTGTAGTCAGGATTTTCTTCTTTTTACTGCCAGTGTGCAGATGTGAGAGTTATGTAGCAATGTGTTGCTGAGTAGCTTTGGTTTTGAGCTCTCCCACCTTGCAAAACCTGTGTGAGCATCTTCCAAAGGTTAAGACCCAGGCAACACTTAGTTCTTTTAGACTGAAAATTAAACAAAAGAACCCCACAGAAAACTAAACCACCCAAAAACATCATAAACCCTGCCTCTCTCTATTATTTTGCTGCTGCAGATTCTTTCAACCAATCTCTAATTTCCACAGTTTTGTCAGCTATACTATCTATTCTTTCTCCTTCCCTTCTCAAAAAAATTAAAGCAAATCTTAATTCCATGCAATTACAAGTTTCCAGGGGTTCCCAACACCTCCACTTAAGATCACCCAGGCTGGAGGGAAACTCAGGAGGTCTCAGTCCAACTTCCTACTCACAGTAGGTTCAGCTCAGACCAGCTCACTCAGGGCTTTATCTAGTCAGGTCTTGAAAATCTCCAAGGACAGACACTGAACAGCTTCTCTGGGTGACATAATCCACCCTTGACTGTCCTCAGGGTGAGAAAGTGTTTCCTTAAGTCCAGCCTGAACCTCCTGTTGCAAAATCTCTCATCCTCCCACCATGTACCAGCATAAGCACCCCAAGCCAGCTCTCTTCATTCAGGCCACGTCCACCCACAGTAGGTGCTGGTGGCTGCTATTAGGTCTCCCCAGAGTGCTTTCTTCCCCAGGCTGAAGAAGTCCCAGTATCTCAGCCTCTCCTCACAGGTGAGTACTCCAGCCCTGACCAACCTGATGGCCCTCTGCTGAGCTTGCTTGGGTTTGTCCATGTCCTTCCTGTACTTGGGGGTGAGGGAGCACATGTAAACTAATGAGTAAAGGGTGATAATCACTTCCTTCCCTCTCCTGGCCATGCTCCCATTAAGACAGTCCAGGATGCTGCTGACTTCTTTACTGCCAGGGCACATTGCTGGCTCATGGCTCCATTCCCTCCACAGTCAAGTGTCCATAACACAGGCTGGAATATCTTATATTAAGTTTCATCTTTTGTAACAGAACCTTTGCCCCCTCAAAAAAACTCACCAGTGTAAGGAGAAGTTTCAGCTACTCAGCTACCTTTAAAATACCTACCACTTCCTATGGATAAGATCCCAGTGGGACAAGTTATACAAGTGCCTTCCTCATCCCCCTGAGGGCTCTTGGCAAGGAAGTACCCTTAAAGTGAAGCCAGGAGTAGGGGTCAAGAGGATATGCCCAGTTAAAAAAATGCCACTGTTGCAAGAGCAAAGGATATCCTTAAATTTTCCAGGATCACAGAGAAGGAAAAGTTTAGATTACTAAACAATGTTAATGTACCTGCACATCACGTGTGAACTTATCACCTTTTAATTTTAACAAAACAAACAAACAAAAAAAAAACCCTACCAAAAAACAAGAGCATCATTCAGATGTATTTCTGGCAGTTTTCTCCTCCTCACAGGACATTACACATTAGTGTATTTTCAGAGGAACACTTTTTCAGCAACAGGTCTGGCTGTGGGATAAGGTCCTGTGATCACAAGAATCTGAAGTAGCCACGTGCCAGAAATCTCCCTTTTTAACAGAGGAATTGGAGGATGCTGACCCCAACTCCTTCCATACAGGGACAGAAAATACAAAATACTTTTTTCTGTGCAGTAATATCACCCTGGTCAGAACTTGCTAGAGTAATATATTTAAGTATCTCCAGGTCCTTCTGTCATTCAGGTGCAGAAATTGTGCTCACCACTTGTGGGTGTCTGATTAGAAACAACCCCAGCACTCAAGAGGACACATATTGATATACCAGGTCAGATTTTGGGTTTGGCCCTAAAATATTCACATATTCCTTATCAGACCTCTTTCACCTTACTTATACAGCAGGTCAATCTGGTAGGACTTTTCCAGTTCAGACAGTTTTTAAATAATTCTGTCAAGTAGTTCTCAGTTTTGAGGTGGACTTCAGCAACACCTCCCTTGACCTGCTGGCTGCACTTCTTTTGATGCGGCCCAGGATACAGTTGGCCTTCTGGGCTGCAAGTGCACATTGCTGGCTCCATGTCCAGCTTTTCATCCACCAGTAACCTGAAATCCTTCTCAGCAGTGCTGCTGACAATGCCTTCATCCCTCAGCCTGCACTGACACCAAGGATTGCCCCAACCCAGGTGCAGGACCTTGCACTTGGCCTACCTAGCACAACAGGGAGCATGCAGCTCATCAATACAGGCAACTAAATTCTCCAACTCTGACCTATTTGCTGTAATACACAGAAAACATTATGCCTCTTCACCAGACGTAGCAATGCTTCTATCCAAGCTGACACTACATGATCACCTCACACATAAACACTTACTTCTGCTATTTTTCTGTTCCTTCACTTGCAGCATCCAAGTTTGTTGGGAGGACTGATTTAGGGAACTAAACCATTTTTAAAAAGTCTACTCCCTTTTTTACTGTAGTGTACTCTTAGCTGGTTTAGCTCCCTGAAGTAGCTCACCTCAGGGCCAGGTGAGTGCAAGCACAAAAGATCACTAATCAGAGGACAGGAGGGGGTGGAGGCAGCAGCTGACTTGGATTAATTTAACTTGTCATGGAGCTGTAGCCCCAATTCAGGATAGATAGGAATGTTGATAGCATGGCAGCACACCAAACAGCCTTCACAGTGATACACAGTTGAAGTGCAAAGCTTATCAGGCTTTTTTTTGAAATATTTCTACATGACTGAGGCTACAATGTTTAATAGATTATTATTTAAGCAACCAAAAAGTTTTAGATGTTGCTCATGAACCACAGAACATTTTCCTCTTTTTTTTTTTTTTTAACATTTTCCTATCACTCCCAATTTAAAACATCAAAGTTGCTTTCATCAAAACACAGGCTGAAGCCAGCGGTCAAGAGCACCCTGTGTCAAACATTCCCAGGTTGTCACTCATTAACCTTGGGAACCACATGCAGGGCTGGAGCAGGAGACAGCAGGCACACGAGAGAGCACATGCACACAAGAGCACACTCTTTACAAACTCAATTACATTTAATGAGAAAAAGTACACCGACCAAATAATTGCTCAAGGTCAGGCAGCCAATATAAAAGAAAAGTGTGGTGAACTGAAGTCAAAAGAGCACAGCAGTTGTGTCAGAGCTGATTAGGGCTGATCCAGAGCTTTGCCACTGTGCAGGGGCAGCCCTGCCTTCCCCTTCACAGCCATGTTCACATGCTGCGGGGTGATAAACTGGACCTGTTGGCTGATCCAAATGAAAACTAGTTCTGGGGAAAAAAATAAAAACAGATTGAACCCCTGCTCAAAAGCTGACCCAACTCACCGCATGCCTATATAAACACCAGAGTTAACACACGGCACTGTCACAGTCACCCATTCTCGCTCTCTCCCTTTTAACAAAAATGCATCCTAAAGAATCCTTTGGAGTTCCAAATTTCCTAATAAACAGCACTAAATTTAAGTTGACACCTCTAGAAAACTGAAATCTTATGAGGTGGTGCACAGATGTGGTCCTTTTGACAAAGATTAGCTGCAAAGGATAAATCGCATGTTCTATTTTATGTTATGATGTTTTATTTTGTTGCACTGCAAATACGCTGGCAGAACATTACTATCAGTGAAATTATCAAAGGCACCATGCAAAAACTCTGTTCTTTTTGTTCTGTGGTTGGTTTGATTTTGGTTGGGGGTTTTTGGGGGGTGTTTTTGTTTTTGTTTTTTAGATTGCTTAAAACTAGTATCTCTTCCTTCTAACCTCAAGAAAAATCAGCTGCTTTTTTGCTTCCAAACGCTCCCATCATACAGTGTAGGTGAAGATTCAGAACCTTAATCCAAAGAACACAGTAAAAGTGAAAATATTTGCATACAGTTTCCTGCTAATATTGGTAATTTTTTATGTAATATATTTATTAAGCCCAAACAAGCAAGTCTACTCACCAGGGAATGATGAGCAAACACTCAGTTTTCACCAGCACTCTAGATGCTTTTTGTCCCAATTATTTGGCTGAGAAAGCTTACTTTCTGGATCCTGGCCCCTGCTTTGTGGTTTTGTATGAGTTTAAAAAGCATATTTATATGTTTGTTCCCCCCTCCCCCAAATACTTCAGTCAACTAAGAAATGTCTTCCTCCCATTCCTTTTCTCGCCCCAAAACAACTATTGTCATTGACAAAAAGATGAAGGAACACAAGTTAATGTGGTTTTTTTCCCCTTTTTGGGGAATTCAGTTTCTTTGATATGTCCTCTAAATTCCTTAAATAAGTCTTCAACACCTGTTCAGCAAAGCCTGTTAGATCAGCTCGAGGGCAAGAGAAATGTGCGCTCACAAGAAATCTTCACTTTTATCCCTGTCCACGCTTTCTCTTGCTGCCTCTTCAATTGCAGCTTTGTTGCCTATATTTTCAGCTTGGCAGTGTAGCTGCCAAAGAGGGCTCTACCCCTACAAAATTGAGGTGGAGGGGAAGCATATTTGGTGTCCTTTCTCAAGGAAAAGCCTACCTTCACACTGTATGACTGATCTACTAGGGCTGGAAAAAATATCTGTATGGTCAATGCTTGAAAATAGTTACTGCAAGAGAAAGATGCTCCAAAGACAGCTGCTTCACTGTCTTTAGAGCCACTTGTGTTCTTCTGGTGCGAGGGAACCAAAGCACCGATCTGCTGCTCAGCTGGAAAACTTGCAAGGCAAAACTAGACAAAAAAAGGGAAATTCTTCTTGAGGACTCCAAAACTGAGGAACCACCAAAACCTTCTCTCAGCCCTTCCCTCCTCCCCCAGGAATGACAAATTTCAAAGCCTGACCTCAGGCTGGTCCAGCCAATGCCACATTTCCACAGTGTGAGGTAAAAGCAAAGTGGGGAAGGGTGGGGGGAAGAAGGGGAAAAAAAATCCACAAAATAGTTCCTTCGCTTTTTAATTCGAGGCCCTAAAAGTTAGGGAAATGTCACCATATATGCACACAGACACACAAAAAAATCCACAAAATTATATCAATACACAGACCCACTTTCAAAGAACTAATGCAGGTGGAATAGGGAAACCTTTGTTCTCTTACACAAAGAGACACCAAAACAAAAAATTGGTTGTCACCAGGCCTTAAAACACACCATCATCCACTTGGGAACAAAATCAACAGTGATCTTACACAACAATCCCAAAAACTCAAGCGAAGGGGCACCAAAAAGGTGACAAAGGGCATACCTAAAACACAGGAATTCTCCCACCACCTCTTAAAAGGGAACAAGGACATTTCAGCTGCAACATGTGAGCTCTGTCTAATGCATTAATTTGAGCTGCATTTCAAAAAGGATTTCCAGAAATGAGTCTGAGGTCAAAACTTTTGTCTACAAAGGAAATTAGAAGGAAATTGTAGGAGATAAAACACAGCTTTAGGTTCTGGCAGTTGTCCAGCTTTGTTCATTTTATTCTAATATTTTAAAAAGTAAGAAGAAAAAAGTGCCTTTGGGGGCTGCCACATCCATTACTTCAGTCAGGGCTGTATACAGTACACAGTATGTTTACTAACTCACCAGACCTCTTCACTCACCCGACACATCATCCCTTCCCACAACATGAACTGCATTTCAGGCTAATTCAATTCTTCTGCTAGATTTTCAAGTTAAATGTTAAAAATTTTTGATAGATCAAATACTGAAGAGGAAATAAAGTGTTTTTCAAACATAAGGACAACTCTTTGGGAAACATTTCAGATTGTATGAAATGATTTCATTAAATACACTTCTTTCAGTACAAACTATCCAATTTGTTCCTGGTTATGGAGCACAAATGTTCCCTGTAGCACCTCTCTGAAGCAAATAAAGCACGTAACATGCAGGCAATAAAGACTTTCCATTTTAAGAAGAGTATGCTCAGTGCTGCAAGCCTTGCCTAAGGAAGGGAAGGCGGGCCACTGCCGGCCAAGGAATCATCAAGCCCCTTCTCCTTGATGTAACCATGCATATATATAGGTGCTCATTCACTGCGTTACATCAAACACATCTTCAAGACTGTGTCCAAACTACAGCTTTTAAATAAATCCTGCACTAGCAAAACAATCTGAAATATTTATATTCTTTTCAGAGTGATTTTGTTTTAAAAGTACCGATGCAGTTATATATCAGGAGTAAAACAGAGGAACAGCTTAAGTTCTGAATCCAATGAGAGCTGAATGTGGCTGTAACTTCAGTTAGCAAAACATCCCTCATTTCAAGAATATTTTCTTTACTTTCTATGTAGACTACAGAATTGCCCTAACCCCATATCAACTGATGTGAGGAACCATTAGCAGCTGTAATTTCAATGGTATGTCTTCTGTCTTCTATGACAAATTCATTCTACTCAGTAGCAATTTTAATCACACTGTTCACTAGCAGGAGCCACAAGATCCAACCATGCCATTCAGAAAACTTCTTTCTTTAGAAATGCAACCAAATGAATTAGCATTGCCTCTTATTAGGAAAAAGTTAAAGAGCTATGAACAAAAAGCTTGCAAGAATTAAACAAATTCTTATTTTTTTCTTTTACCATGATGTGTAACAGAAAGCAAGAGACACAGGTGTTCTGGTTTTATCAAACTTGTCTTAGTTATTCACCCAAAAGAGCACTTTCAGAAATGCTCTGCACGTCTGTTCACCGCTTAACTAACCAGTGCACACAGGAGATCCACAGCCTCTAGAACCAGTTCTTGGTGTCCAATCCGTGAGATACCCAAATCTTCAAGGTCCTGGTGAGAAATCTGTAACAGCTGTTCACCATTTATCTTCTCTCGTTCAAATTTATGGACATACTGCTGCAGGCAATCATCCAGGCCTATCAAAGCACAAGAGAGAGAGAGAGAAAAGGGGAAGTGATTACAAATTTCTGTCTTCTCTTCCTCTTCCCTCCAATTAAAAAAACCAACCAAACAAAACAAAACAAAAAAACAAACCACAACCAGAAACTCTGAAAAAGGCACAAAAGGCAAATTCATATAATACATGGAGCCAAATTTAAAAAAAAAAAAGAAAAAATCAATCAAAAAAAAAACCCACACAAACCAACAACCTTGTAGTAACACAGTTGAAGATTGGGAGTTGTAGGGACACAGAAACAGAGCACACAGGTTTTGTGGATCTTTAGGTCACTTAAGTCAGTGAACAAACCACCTGCTCCTTGTGGATCAAGCTCAGCAGGTAAGAATGTCCCTTTGGTGTCCACATAGGCAAAGCAGGGAACATGCATAGACTCAGCTATCAGGGTAACTTAAAACCCTGAAGGGCAATCAAAGCAACAACAAAGAATAATAACTGACCAAAAAAAAAAAAAAGATAATACAACAAGGCAAGGCAAGAAAAAAAGATCTTCCCCAAAGCCTAGTTAAACAAGTAAACACACAAAAGCACAAAAAACCACAGCTCCCCATTCACTTATATATAAAAGGGCTGAATGAATGATGAGAGGAAAATGGAACAATCAAAGGCAAAGCAATCAAAATGATGTTTGGCTCAAGTCTCATTATCCCCTTGATTTATGAGACCCTGAAGCTTCCTGAATCAGCCATTCCTTCCTCTTGCTAAGGATTAACAGCATACACCAACAAGACATCTAATTCACTTCTGTATCTATTAAGTATTTTTAAAACAGCTTAGAGTATTTTGTCCCAGAAATATATCCAAAATCCTCACTTTACATTGTGATTCTGTGACACTGTTCTCTACAGTATTTTTTCCCTAGCGATTACAGAGAGGATTTCTGGTTTTCATTTTGTTTTATTTAACTAAACGTCACATGTTAATCCTGTTTTCTTGTGTATTCTGTTCATTTCTTCACTTCTTAAAGATCCTGTGTGCAGCAACAGTCTGGGGAAAACACTTGGATGGATGTGTTATTTTAAAGATGATGCAGTGCTATTGATGCCCTGTTCCAATTCAACATATTAGCTAGAGCAAAAGGAACAGATCCAATTAGATCTGTTTTGTAGAAATACATCATGTTCACGGAAAATAGCTGACATGAGAAAAAATTCAGATTACAAATCTGACATCTACTTTGTAGCATCCACAATAGCTACATTGTTTGACCACTCAGTTTAAAAAAAAATGAACCTTTAGCTGTATAAAGGATGTTTATGCACTACACTGGCTCAAAAGGAAGCCATTGAGATGGACAGGATGTTGAATGCTGCAGATGAGAAACACGAACAGCATCCTGAACTACACAGAAGACCAGCACCCAGTTCCACTCATGGAGCCACAGTAGCAGCCTGGAAAACAAGCACTCCCAGCACATGCTACTGCCAAGAAAACATTTCAGACAAATCACAAGAGGGGCTCTAGGAGTCACATGAAACATTCATTTCATAACAGCAGCATGAGCAGTCACTGCTGCCTTGCAATGTCTCCTCACAGCAGACTGGTAGACGATGGACTCTCAAAGGCACAGACTTACTTAACACACATCCCTTGCTTTTGTAATGCTCACTCAGGAATTAATAAAGACAGACACCCTGGCACTTCACAGTCACCCCTTTACATGACTCAGGCAAGCTTAATTATTGCAGTACAATGTCTGGCTGAACAAGCTTGACTCCTCCACGTGCAGAGCTACTACCGTGCACAGCTTGATTTTTAAGCGTAATTATGAATGGGAAAGCCCGCATGCAAGATGAGCAGAGTTTCCCAGGGCTACAGTTGTTTGGGGTGCACTCTTGTTTCTTCCCATCTGTCTTGGCAAGGCCACATAAATTTTGAAAATTGAGCCCAGTGTTCTCTTTCCCACAGGCACCAAACTGTCCCTTAGGCTATACAAACTCTTTTTCCCAGGGAAAATACTAAAAAAAGATCTAGTCTTCATTGTTTAGCAATTTATTTTTTTAAAACCAATTCTCGACCAAGGTTGACATACAGTGCACGTATTTGGCATTCCCAATTTTTAATGCTGTCTTGTAGACCACCGTTTCCCAACATTTGCCATTGTAAGCCCAGAGTTTCAATTACAAATTGCACAAACATCTAAAACAAAATACTTTATTCAGCATGCAACAAAGTTTTTATTTTTTTTAAGTTTTTTGGATACAGTATTGCTTTTGCCTGCTGGCCTTTCTGTGTGTTGACTCAATTTTCTAGATCCTCGTTCTGTCCTAAAACATGAGACTCACAAATATATCTATATATCTATCTAAATAGATTATATATAGATACAGATTATAATCTATATATAGAGATTATATAGATATATATAGATTATATATATATAGATTGTATACATATATATATAGATTGTATACATATATATATAGATTGTATACATATATATCTCGTCATCCCCATCCCTCCTCCCCCCCGGCAAGAAATGCAGCTATAGCTTTCAGCTTGCCTGTGGTTTTGTTTGTTTGTTTTTAATTCATGCTTCTCTATTCTTGAAGGTCTATTACAACTTGAACAGCTACCTCTAAAATATTTTTTAGTAGGAGTCCTTAAAAACAATGCTTCTATGATCATATGATAAGTCTATATTTTGTAAATTAAAATCTTACCAAAATCACACAAATGTTAATTCAAAACAGTTAACACAGAGGCACAGCCGCTCAGCCAGAAACGTATTCAAGATTAAGCGACCAAAACTATGCAAAGCAGGAAGCGAAGACAGACCCCCACACTCATGGCAAGCATTCACTAATGGTTTAAGATGAGCTTACTAACATTCATGTTGTTATTGTTTTTACTAAGAAACATATGGAAAAGTCTTAAACATTTTAATTCAGACTGCAACCACATTTATAGCCCAGTGTTTAATTTTCCATCGTATGAATGAAATGTTTAAACATCATATGCAAACAAACAAAAAAAAAAAAATCCTATTTCTCCAAGAGGGAAAGCAGAAGGGAGGAAAAAAGGACTCAAATCAGTTAAATAAAATAAACTAAATAATATTTAAGTAAAGTTTCACAAGTGAGCATTCAAATGCCACCGGTAATCTAAACGAACTGCTCTTTTTTTCCTTCTTCCAAACATCTCAGTTCTTTCCATGTATTTTCTCTGTGAAATTTAGAGCCTCTTGTAGACTTGATACTGCCCATTAAGTCTGGATATTTTTTAGAAACTTAAATTAATTAAATACTATAAAAAGCAGTCTACATTACTCGAAAAGATTATTTCTTACATGTCAGGTCATGTTCAACAGTGCATTAGCAGGTTCAGGCAAGAAAACAGTTTTCTGTACTTCAAAAAAAAAAAATACAATTAAGACTCTGACATTGGAAAAGCTACCCATATTTACCTCCTTTACCCACTGAAGAGTGCTTCCAAAGTCTAATCTATTCATTTGATGCTCAAATCCTGTTTAAGAAGCATTTGTCTCGATCGCATGTGAGAAATCTTTGTATTATTCCTTGCATATACAACAAAATCATGCACAAAAGATGTCATCCTCCCTACTTACATAACTGTTAAGAGAATGAAGGAAGATGGAAATAGAAATACCAATTGCAGAATGTTACTCAAGTTTTACAACAATAGTAGCAGTCATTTTCTTAGGGAGGGAGACAGACTAGTCTAGTGTTATTCATATCACAAAAACCCTTCTGAGGAACTGCAGTGTAACTTGAACAGAACTCCCAAATTTTGGCAGGTGTAGAGATGTGCAATAGATCCTAGAACTGTCTAGACTTTTCTGTCTAAAATAACCTTCCACCACCACGTGCAAAGCACCCTAGAAGACATTCAATATCTTGCATTCATGCAAAAACATTAGGACAGGGCTTACACTTACAGATTAGCACTGATACCAATCTCAGTCTGTTTCCAAGATTAAGACAGTTATTTTGAATAAGAATTGAGGGAAAAAAACAACTTTCAGTGGGTCAAGGGGGAGGCTTGGGTCTAAGCCATAACTATCAGTTTACTATTCAGAGAGAATT